TCAATTTTTCTAGAACTAAATATATAAACGGTTATCCTAGCGTCCGGCCATGAAAGCCTTGCTCTGCACCTTAGGGGCGTTCGATTATCGTAACGAGTAAAACATCCGATCCCAACCAATCCGAATCTGATCGAACCACGCCACTCATGGCTGCCCGTCCCCTCACGCGCCGCCATCCGCGCCTCCCCCCTTGTCCCCCCACCGTGCCCCGTTTCTCCACCGAGCCCCTGTCCCGTTCCCCACCATATCCCATTCCCCACCGCACCCCGTTCCCCACCGCACCCCTGTCCCAAGAGCGCGAAACACTTTCAAAGTGCAACATCGCAAAAATATGTGAACTATGTAGTGCAACATCAGAATATAAATACTGCAACATCGCAACTATGTAGTGCAACATCAAAAAATATGTACCGCAACATCAAAAATTATGTACTACAACATCGAAAACTGCGTCATCTCAAATAGTAGTACTGCAACATCGCAACATCAACCATAAAACATGGAAAATCGAAACATCTCAAATCATCTTTCAGTGTTGCAACATTTGAAAAAGGTAATTTCAACAATTAAAACCATCCGTTGCAACATTATGGGAAAAATACAAATCCCAACATTAGAACTCCCTTTCTGCAACACATCAATCACCCTATTGCAACATTCGAGAATCATCTGTTGCAACAACACAAAAATCCCGTTACAACAAGGATAAAACAACAAAAAAACGTACAAACAACAAGGGGATGGGTTCGAGGTGCAGACTGCTCCAGCCCCTGACCCATCACATTCGAGCTCGCTGGAGGGAGAAGGGAGTAGGACCCCAGAGCTCGTCAGAATCCTAGCCATCGCCGCATCCCTCGGATCTAGAGGAGGAGGAGGAAGGGGGCTTAGATCCAGAGGAGGAGGAGGACTCAGATCCAGAGGAAGACTGACCTACCTCGTTGGAGCCGCCGCCGCCGTCCTCGTCTCCGGTGGGGGAGCGGGAGCCGAGTCACTGGGGGCGTGGGGTAGCAGGTCGCGGAGGGGAGAGGGACGAAGGGAGGGAGGGAAAGTCGGCGCGCAGGTAGGGCGACCGACACGCGGTGTCCATCACGGCGGGTGCGGCAGTACAATGGGAGCGCGAGCGCTACGGGAGTGCGGCTTGAGGAAAGGATAAGGAGCGAGGGACGCGACGTGCGGCGCGGGTCGGGTGCATCCTTCCCCATCCGAACGCTCGATTTAAATCATTATCGATATATAAGGTCACACAAAAATATACAAGTATAAACATCTGTCTAATATTTAATTACTTGCATGTCATGTATATTAACAGTTAACATGTATAATTGGTGATTAGTACATATTGTCGGGGACTAATATTAGGGTACCCGAAGAGGAGGAGATAATGACCGTCAACATTGATTCATCTGCGCAATGAAGAGCGCGACTACACTGCTTATCGGGTCACTCCTCGTCCATCCGCCAAGATCATGTGCCCCGCCTCAAGCTGACTCCCGAGGACTGGCTCCAGCTCACCCAATGTCTAAGGGCTGGCTCCGTCTCACCCAACCCCCAGGGGCTGGCTCCACCTCGCCCAACGTCTAAAGGTTGGCTCCGTCTCGCCCGACCCCCGGGGGCTGACTCTGCCTCACCCGACGTCCAAGGGCCTGCTCCGCCTCGCCCGACGTCTGAGGGCAGACTCTGCCTCGCCCGACGTCTGGGGCTGGCTCTGCCTCGCTCGACGTTCGGGGGGCTGGCTCTGTCTCGCCCAAAGTCTGAGGGCAGACTTCGCCTTGCCTGACGTTCAGGGCTAGCTCCGTCTCACCCGACGTCCGAGGGATGGCTCCGCCTCGCCCGATGACCGGGCTTACCGCCTCGACGCGTCGAGGCGAGACTCACCACGCTCGACGTCCGGGGCTGGCTCTGCCTCGCCCGACGTCTGAGGGCAGACTCCGCCTCGCCCGACGTCCGAGGGATGGCTCCGCCTTGCCCGACATCCGGGGCTGGCTCTGCCTCGTTCGACGTCTATGCATTGCTCCTTCATAACTACGTGCGCAGATAAGGCAGGGCGCTCAACTCAACCGCAATACCGAGGACCATACCCTGCACGCCTGCAGAAAAGTACCGTCAGGATATGACAAGACGGGCGCTTTAAGCCCTTCCAGTCATGTCAGAGCCCGAACAGTGTTGTAGGTGTCGACATTTGTCTTACAGTGTTGTGGGCGCCGCCATTTGCTCTTGGGCACAGATCCTGACGGAACCATACGACAACCACTACGGTCCAGGAAGGAACTCGCATCATCTACAGTAGCGGATGGGCGGTCATTACACCGTCTGCTCCCCGTAAGGCCGTAGATTAGCACCCTAGTGCGTCGCGCTGTCCGCCGAGGCGGGATGGGACGTGACCACCTGCTGATCAAGCTAGAACATCGCATCCTCAGTGAACAGACGCCCAGCGCGACCCTATCAGAATCAGCAAACATGCACCCAGCATAGAGCTATCCCTGGCACCGTCTGTTGGGTCAGTGGGGCTTGCTCAGAGGAAAAGGAAGACCCGGCATCTTTGAAGGACCTCCTTGGCCTCTAGTTTTTCTTCTTTCTCCTATTTGTAATCCCTGCTTCCCCTTGGTCTATAAAAGGGAAGGAAGAACACCCCACTAAGGGGACGGATCGATTCAACACACCACACATCTCATCACACATAGCTGAGCAGCAACTAAGCTCTCGGCATCCATTCGACCTTTCCATCAGAGACTTAGGACATGTTCCACTCTCGCCCGTTTGTAACCTCTACTACGAACTTATCAGTGCTAATAACGCAAGCAGTAGCCGCGAACTGGACGTAGAGACGTCCTGCCCAAACCAGTATAAATCTTGTGTCTTTTTAGTACACCATCCGGGTCAGACGCGCAATAACACAAATTTACTCGTTAGTGTTTACACAAAACACCAACACATATACTAGCATAACATAGAGCATCTCCAGGTGTTTGCTAAACTAAATAGATATAGCAAGTTAATGTAGGAAAAAACAAACTTAAATTTTGTCCTTCTCCAATAGTCTCCTATAATAGCTCTTTAAATGATTTTATATTGAGAAATCTGAACTATTTCTAACGAATCAAACCTTTTTTAATACTTTATCTTGTTGTCTGAAATCCATCATTTTCTTAATTTATTCATCCAATTTACTCTCGTCTCTCGAGAAAAATATTGGACGGGGAATGGATACAGAGTTTCTCTCGACTGCAAAAACTTACGAGTTGGAGAAAATATTTAACATTTTTTTATTTTTAAGGAGCTTTTTTATTAACTGTTGAAAAGATATTTTTCTACTTTTTTGCTAAAATTTCAACGTAGGAAGTTGTTTTACGGAACTTCTCGAGGGATAAGGTCAGAACGGTTTTTTTCATCACTATGTTAAGTTGCTTTCTTGTGGTGCACGATGACCCGAACGCAGGGCTGGTCCCAACCAATCCGAACCACGCCACTCGTGCGGCCCGTCCCCTCACGCGCTGCCCCCCCTTGTCCCCCCATGCCCCGTTTCCTTACCGAGCCCCTGTCCCATTCCCCACCGCGGCCCGTTCCCCAACACACCTCTGCCCCAAGTGCGCGAAACACTTTCAAAGTGCAACATCGCAAAAATATGTGAACTATGTAGTGCAACATCAGAATATAAGTACTGCAACATCGTAAAACTATGTAGTGCAACATCAAAAAATATGTACTGCAACATCGAAAATTATGTACTACAACATCGAAAACTGCAACATCTCAAACAGTAGTACTGCAACATCGCAACATCAACCATAAAACATGGAAAATCGAAACATCTCAAATCATCTTTTAGTGCTGCAACATTTGAAAAAGGTAATTTCAACAATTAAAACCATCCGTTGCAACATTAGGGAAAAATACAAATCCCAACATTAGAACTCCCTTTCTGCAACACATCAATCACCCTATTGCAACATTCGAGAATCATCTGTTGCAACAACACAAAAATCCCGTTGCAACACGGAGAAAACAGCAAAAAACGTACAAACAATAAGGGGATGGGTTCGAGGTGCGGATTGCTCCAGCCCCTGACGGTCGAGGTACGCGTTACAATTAGTGTGCATTTTTTTTTATTTGGAGCCATCTTAATGCAATAAATATAATAATGTTCTTATTCACAAATGCAGATTCAAACATCATATCCATTATTTCATCACCAAGATGGCTTCAAACAAAAAAATAAGTTGTGAGCTACAAAGTCATAGATCACCTTGAGCACTGTAACGTGTTTACACGTTTATTAGAATGTTTTATGATTTTTCTAGATCCTTTTTCAATTTTTCTAGAACTAAATATAATATTTCAAAAAGCTTCTAGAGATAATTTTATGAGCTATAAATATTTTATTCGGTTTTCTAGAGTCCTAATCTACTATAAGATTTCTCTCGAAATTTTCATAAGTTTGACGATACATTTTGTGATTTAAAAACCTTAGAGCATCTCTAAGAGCATTTTTAAATCTCAGTTTCTAAATTATTATTTGGAGAGTCATTTGCATAAAAATCGTTTTCTATATCTTTTCACTCTCCAATAGTTTTTTCTATATCTCGTGCGCACTCTAAAGAACCATTCTCGTCTTCTATTTTTGGTTAGCGAAAAATCCGAAACAGAAGATAGCTATATTTGGATAACCATTTAGAGAAGCCGTTGGAGGGTAGTTTTTTACCAAAATCTTTATGACAGTGCTAGCGCCCGGATGTCCAGACGGACGCCCGCTGCTGCACTCCGTCTCCCCCGTGCACCTGCATCCCGTGTCCGCGCGTCAGTGTTGCAAGTGTTGCATCCGGATATATCAAAAGTAGATTGGGTGTTGCATCTGAAACACACGAAGCATGCACCTGCAACACTAGCTGCAACATCAGATCTACTTTAATCTGGATGTTTAAAGTAGATCTGATGTTTCGTGTGCTTCATCTGGATGTTTAAAGTAGATCTGATGTTTCGTGTGTTTTTATCTACCTTCAGCCATGGCCGTGCGTCAGTGTGGGGCAGGGCGTGAGCGCAAAATGGATAAGGATGGGGAGGAGTAAGTGGGGGATAGAATTTTTCTAGTAGCGAGCGGAGCATGCAGGAGTGAGCGGTGGGAGACATCCATCCATCCGGACATCTTAATTGTATCATTATCGATATTGCTAACATTTAGGCAGGATATAGAGTCTCTTGCAGATGCTCTTATCAAGTTTATTTGGTTTGATTTTTAACTAAAAATGGTAGAGTCTTGAAAACCATTTCTAACCACAATATAAGGTTAGAGCATCTCCAATAGTATATAATATTTTCTTCTTAAAAACATGAAGTTTTACAACTCTTAAAAAAGTATTAGAAGGAATAAAGAAGGTTATCTCGAAGAGTTTCTAATAATCCACTCCTAAACTATAGAAGACAATTTTACATCAAGAAATCCTATACTATTTCTAAATTATCATAACTATTTTTATATATTCTTTCTCTCTTGTACATTTATATCAGAAACCGTTTCCTACTCTTTATTCTTTCCACGTCCTTCCACCTTTACATTAGCCGACAAACACGCACGGGAGAGACAAGATACGCACGATTCGGAAGCGCGTAACTTTACGCGGAACAGGATGACTTTTGCCAAGTTCTAAAATATTAGGATGATGGATTAGAAGTTGTTGGAGAGGGGTTTTTTCTCATCTTGCTAAAAACAAGAATTAGGAAGAGATTTAAGAAACTCTTGGAGATGCTCTTAATTTAAATCATTTTGAGAATCGAGAAAGACAAATTGCTTGTTTTTTTTCAATTATAGTACGGACATAAACACTCGTATATGCATATCTTAACATGCATGTACTTTTAACATAAATGTACATTTTAACAAACATGTACATCTTGAGATGGAAACGTTGAGCTTGGACGATAGTCAGAGGTGAAAGGAACTTTTTTCCAAAGTGGGGCGTAGACGTATTCACAGGCTTCGGCAGCGCTCTACTAGCTGAATTGCATGCTGTCGTTTTTCCATCAAATCCTTTCTATTTATGTTTATTTTTTCTCTATAAAAAATGATAGTTTTCACCTAAAAAATTATGGTTTCTTCTTGAATTTCCTACAAATTCAAATGTTGTTCAAACAATCCAAAAATACTGTTCAAAGGATTCATGATGTAAAATGTTACTACAACAAGTGCTTTTGCATGGCCTGGGTCGTCGTCATTGTTCAGATGATTCTCTATCAAACTTGACGCAGGTAGCGAACTGGTGTTTTAAGCATCAGAACCTGCAAAACACAAAGGTGCATAGAATCATTGATCCAAATAGACAAAATAACAACAATCTCCACATAATAAAGAGTGTAGAGCACGTAGTACTACCTTAGGATTATTCATATTGCTTCCGAAATAACCAACACCAAATGATGGCGAGGAATAGGCAGCAACCAGCTCAGCGGCTTCCAGTTCAGACAAATCCCCTCCCTACGAAAAGATTCATGGTTCAGCTCACAGTGGAGGGGCTTACCCATCCAAGACCTAAGCAGATGGGATTGCAACTACTCACCTTTAGAACATCAGCCTGAACTAGCAACAACCCAGCGCCTGTGTCATGAGACATCTTGCTGCTGCTTTGAATCACAGAGCTGGAGTTGGGAGCAAAATTTGGGTAGAATGAAAATGGGTGGCTACCCAAAGAGAGAAATAGGTAGTGTGTTTTAGTTAGGTAGTATTGCTGCAGATGCTCTAAGCAGCCATAGGTAGCAACCTACTAAGAAGCTGTTGCAGAGCCTTAGCTCCAGCCCAACACCACAATATACATTCTTCAGAAACTACAGCTAGAACTCTTTCTGTGTCATAGAATCTAGTACTCTAGACCTACTTCTCATTTACACAATAAATAGTTGATCATATGAACATCTATAGTTGTTTTATGTCACGAATCATATGATTGTTTGCTATGGATAGATGTTATAGAGCAGAGGGAGAACTAATGAACACACTATTTTACAGGGTCTTCTATCACCTCAATTATCATCGTTGCTATTTTTAGTCGTTGGCATTTCAATGGCTCTGACACCATGGTTAGCTGCTGGAGGACAGTTTCTGGCATCAAAATTTGAGCAGCATGATGTGAGGAGTTTATTGCCCGTGGAAAGTGAGGTATTTGTTTGTTCCGACTTTTGCTTCTTGCTTCGGTTACAATGTTACATTTTATGTAATTTTGGCCACATGCATGCAAAAGCACCGTCAGTCTGCCATATCTCTAGTCTAACCTGCCATGTAGAATACAAGTTTCAATTGAATGCCTGATCGTGTAGCCAAGTGTGTTCCCTGTGTGAAATGTAGCTAGACTCATTTGCCATTTGATATTTGTGTGATTGAGTGGTCCTGACAATGTTAAGAAATCAAACAACTCAGTAGCCTTGTTTACTTTTTTGTGTGTGTTTCAGTACTTTGGATTATAGTAGTTTCTTGTGGCCAGCCCTAAGATTATTTCCATTTATGCTGATTGACAATTGTAATATCCAGCGGGAGATTCTAATTATGAACCAGCTAAAAACTCAGAACTAGGTGATCCTATCTCTTCAGATGGTTACCGAGATACTGAGGATGATTGATGAGCACAGTGGGTGTATTATTCTGTTTCAGTTTAGCAGCCATGACCCACCCAAGAACTGGCAGTAAAATGATGAGTGAGAGTTACATTTTTTTTGTCTGTACAAGAATAATGTGGATATTGCATATGCAGAAACAATGCTGAAGTTTGGCAAGAATTGTTGGTAGTTATAACTTTAGCTGAAGCATCTGTCTCCTATCTCAGATAATGATCAAAGATGAGAAAAAAAAATCTAAAATCCAATCAGTTCAGGTATCAGCTAGTGCGGTAGCCATTTTAGATGAGCAATTAACCAAAGAGCTTATGCCAGAAAAAAACACACATGGTGGTGGGATAGTATTGCTTCTTGTTACTATAATCTGCCAAGTTTGTAGTCAAATAGCATGCCAGCTCTTTAATATCCTTTATTCCTTTAACATGTCAATTTTCGCCTAATGTTGCTGTCTTCTGTTTTTCTGTCTATGTATGTAGACTGACGATTTGCAAGACCATATTATTATATTAGGCTTTGGACGTGTTGGGCAGGTTGTATTGCAATCCTCACACACTACTATTTTTTCCATGTCTGACTGATCCTAATAAAGCTGTTTCCCCTTACTAGATCATTATTGCAACTCCTGTCCGAACGGTTAATCCCTTTTGTTGCACTTGATGTTAGAAGGTATGGTGCATCTTGCAATAACCTGAATTTTAAAGAAACCATGGATAGCATTCAGAACCTTAGTGTTTGTTCTGAATTAATGTTTAACCATGAAGTATGGCTGCATGAACCTATGCAGATTTAAGTCTGTAAGTTACTGTGTAGAGTTGAGATAGTTGATACCATATTTTAGGCTAATGTGGGTCCGCAGTTGGAATGTATTAAATCCACAAAATAAAACAAACTTTCAGGCAGACTCTTCCAGGAATCCAGGAAAATGCTGGCAAGACCCGCAATCTGATGGTTGCATGTCTTAACCTTCCTTTGGAACCAAATCATCCGTGTTCAATTTATCCACCTTAGTGGTCAGGGTCAGGTCATCCAAATTTTCTTTTTTCTGATGCCTATTTTCTTTGTCAGTGATCGGGTAGCAGTTGGGCGTGCACTTGACCTTCCAGTGTATTTTGGGGATGCTGGAAGCAGAGAGGTAGGGAGAGTTCGTTTATATCTTAATAACACATATAGCTTGTTGAGAGTACTGTTCTAATTGAATTTTAATAGGTACTGCACAAAGTTGGAGCTGAAAGAGCTTGTGCTGCTGCAATTACTTTGGATACTCCTGGTGCAAACTACAGAGCTGTCTGGGCATTGAGCAAATATTTCCCAAATGTGAAGACATTTGTTAGAGCACATGATGTTGATCATGGTGTTAATTTGGAGAAAGCTGGTGCAATGGCGGTACGTGGATATCACAGAGCATTCTTGGTGATAATGGTTTCCTGATGCAACTTTTATTGACCATATACACATACAATTTCTGTTTGCAAAGAGTGTTCTATTGCTTTTATCATAATGGGACCAAGCATGCACCTAAAGTACTGTGTAACTTTTGTTGCTATTATGCACTATCGGTAGTTTCCCTTATACTCCGTATCAGATACCTTATTTCACATGTAGTACTTATAACATATCTTCTGATGGAATTGTGTGAACAATTTGAAGGTTGTCCCTGAGACCTTGGAGCCAAGTCTTCAGCTAGCTGCTGCTGTTCTTGCACAGGTAAGCTCTTATTTGATTGTACCATCCACTGTGCTTATTAGTAATGTATGGAATTTGATGCATATGCTTACATTTCAGGCAAAACTTCCAATGTCAGAGATTCAGGAAACCATCAGCGAGTTCCGGAATCGTCATCTGTCAGAGCTTACAGAGGTGTGTAATTATGTCATCATTCAGTGGTCTGCTAAACTTATTGATGATATTTGCAACAGAAAGCTTCTGACAAACAAAAAGATAAGCAGTAAACCAAGGCAAAGCAAATTTCCAAATGGTAGTAATTCAAGGATAGCTGTTGTAGAATCTGTAGATGTGTTGAAATAAGCTTGTGATGACAGTCTCGTGTTAGTAACTAGTTACATTGTTACATGATTAAACACTAGCCATTTGCTAGCTGGAACAGTGATGGTATACACTATACAATATGCGTTAGCACGGGCACTATACTAATACAATATAATGATCCTTCTGACTTTTAGCTCGGTGAAGCCGAAGCCCAAAAATCGAATTAGTAGACTATCGTATACCAAGGAACAAATGGGTGCAGTTCGTTTCTAATAATACATGTAGTGTAATGGATATCCAATTTTTTTTTAAATATAGCAAGTCTTAGATGATTTTTTTTTATGTTCTTGAGTTTTGAGGTTTTCTGAAGTCCATGTAATATGACACCATGTGAGAAAATTTCTTTTTCTTTCAGGTTCATACAATGCTGCGTTCATGCAATATAATATTGAGCAATATCATCAAATTTTTGTAACTATCTGATGGCCTTTTGTTGTTCCCTTTATAGTTGTGTGCTACGACAGGAAGTTCTCTTGGCTACGGGTTTTCCAGAGTTACTTCCAAATCGAAGTCTTCCGATGATGAAAGCGAAACAGTGGATGGTGCACTAGCAATTTGATGCCGATTAGATAAAATGGGATCCCTTGATAGTACTAGATTGATTGCACTGTTCAGTAGATAATCTTGTTGCATGTAGAAAGAGAGTGGAATAATAATTCATGCAACAGCTGTCACAAAAGTTGGCGTGCAATTTTGTATGTTAGAATACTTATATATTTCTTGTTTCTATATATATCTTTTCCCACATCTTTTTGTTGCCTGCTATTTAGCCTATAGAATTGTTTGCATAAAACTCTTCACAAAGAAAAATAATACACTCTAGTCGTGCAGGTGAAAATGAGGCCCTTGAACATGAAAACGGCCGTTTCTATATTTTTCGGTGAAAACAAGACGGGTTCGGTTAGGATGAGAAACGAAATCGGGATATGCAAACAAGGCAGGATCAGTTAGGACGAGAAACGGAATTGGGATATGCAGGTATACGGACAAGTGAGGACGAAAAGATGAAAAATTAATAAGTTAGAAGAAAATATGCAATATATAAACGGTTATCCTAGCGTCCGGCACGAGCGCGCGTCTGCACCTTGGGGCGTTCGATTATCGTAACAGAAAACATCCGATCCCAACTAATCCGAACCACGCCACTCGCGCGGCCCGTCCCCTCACGCGCCGCCATCACCGCCCCGCATCCCATTCCCCACCGCTCCCCGTTCCCCACCGCACCTCTGTCCCAAGAGCGCGAAACACTTTCAAAGTGCATCATCACAAAAATATGTGAACTATGTAGTGCAATATCAGAATATAAATACTGCAACATCGTAAAACTATGTAGTGCAACATCGAAAAATATGTACTGCAACATCGAAAATTATGTAGTACAACATCGAAAACTACAACATCTCAAACAGTAGTACTGCAACATCGCAACATCAACCATAAAACATGAAAAATCGAAACATCTCAAATCATCTTTCGGTGCTGCAACATTTGAAAAAGGTAATTTCAACAATCAAAACCATCCGTTGAAACATTAGGGGAAAAATACAAATCCCAACATTAGAACTCCCTTTCTGCAACACATCAATCACCCTATCGCAACATTCAAGAATCATCTGTTGCAACAACACAAAAATCCCGTTGCAATACGGAGAAAACAGCAAAAAACGTACAAACAATAAGGGGATGGGTTTGAGGTGCGGACTGCTCCAGCCCCTGACCCATCACCTTTGAGCTCGCTGAAGGGAGGAGGGAGTAGGACCCCAAAGCTCGTCGGAACTCTAGCCACCGCCGCATCCCTCGAATCTAGAGGAGGAGGAGGAAGAAGGGGGCTCAGATCCAGAGGAGGAGGAGGAGGAGGAGGAGGAGGGCTCAGATCCAGAGGAAGAGCGACCTACCTCATCGGAGCCGCCGCCGTCGTTCTCGTCTCTGGTGGGGGAGCGGGAGCTGGGTCACTGGGGTGAAAGGTTCTAATGGCTAGAGGGGGGTGAATAGCCTAACAAAAATTTCTACAACAACACTTAACAAACTGGTTAGACAATTATGAGGCGAAGCAAGTGTTGCGCTAGCCTACTAAAAATGCAAGCCACCTACCACAATTCTAGTTTAGATAGTATCTATTCACACAATAGCTATGACACTACCCTATGTTAGTGTGCTCTCAAAGGCTCACTAAAGAGCCACACCAACCAACCAAGCAAGCTCTCACAACTAGCTACACTAAAGAGCTTGACAACTATTTTGCGGTAATGTAAAGAGAGTGATCAAGAAAGTTATACCGCCGTGTAGATGAAGGTACCAATCAATCACGAGGATGAATAACAATGAATACCAATCACCTCGGAATCAATGATGAACACAATGATTTTTTACCAAGGTTCACTTGCCTGCCGGCAAGCTAGTCCTCGTTGTGGCGATTCACTCACTTTGAGGTTCACGCGCTAATTGGCTTCACACGCCAAACCCTCAATAGGGTGCCGCACAACCAACACAAGATGAGGATCACACAAGCCATGAGCAATCCACTAGAGTACCTTTTGGTGCTCCACCGGGGAAAGGTCAAGAACCCCTCACAATCACCACGATCGAAGCCGGAAACAATCACCACCCTTTGCTCGACGATCCTCGCTACTCCAAGCCGTCTAGGCGGCAGCAACCACCAAGAGTAACAAGCGAATCCCGTAGCAAAACACGAACACCAAGTGCCTCTAGATGCAATCACTCAAGTAATGCACTTGGATTCACTCCAAAACTCACAAAGTTGATGAATTGATGATGGAGATGAGTGGGAGGGCTTTGGCTAAGCTCACAAGGTTGCTATATCAATGCAAATAGCCAAGAGAGTGAGCTTAAACCGGCCATGGGGCTTAAATAGAAGCCCCCACAAAATAGAGCCGTTGTACCCCTTCACTGGGCACAACGCGTGGTGACCGGACGCTCCGGTCGGATCGACCGAAAGTTGGCCCAAAGCGTCCGGTCATGTGATACTTGCCACGTGTCCCCTGCTTCAAATGCTATTCGTCAGATTTCAACGGTCGTCTGTTGACCGGACACTGTGCACAAACTGACCGGACGCTCAGCCTCTAGCGTCCGGTCGTTTCCAGTAAGGTTCCAGAAACGAATTTCTTCGACCAGACGTGTCCGATCATGCTTGATCGGACCCTGCCAGCGTCCGGTCAGACGCTGACCTCTCACTGTGCTGTCTGACAACACGACCGGACGCATCCTTCCAGCGTCCGGTCGCTGAGTGACCCTGCGTCCGGTCAGGAACCGGCGTTGGAGTCTTCACTGCTACACATGACCGGACGCGCTGGTCCCTCAGAGGCCAGCGTCCGGTCACTGTATAACCAGCGACACTTACTCCTTTTCACTTCTATCTTCTTCACCCTTGCTCAAATGTGCCAACCACCAAGTGTATCACCTTGTGCACATGTGTTAGCATATTTTTCACAAACATTTTCAAGGGTGTTAGCATTCCACTAGATCCTAAATGCATATGCAATGAGTTAGAGCATCTAGTGGCACTTTGATAACCGCATTCCGATACGAGTTTCACCCCTCTTAATAGTACGGCTATCAAACCTAAATGTGATCACACTCTCTAAGTGTCTTGATCACCAAAACAAAATAGCTCCTACAAAATATACCTTTGCCTTGAGCTTTATGTTTTTCTCTTTCTTCTTTCCAAGTCGAAGCACTTGATTATCACCATGCCATCATCATCATGCTATGATTTTTATTTACTTCACCACTTGGAGTGTGCTACCTATCTCATGATCACTTGATAAACTAGGTTAGCACTTAGAGTTTCATCAATTCACCAAAACCAAACTAGAGCTTTCAATCTCCCCCTTTTTTGGTAATTGATGACAACCCTTATACAAAGATATGAATTAAAATTCAATTGAATCGATGTTGCTTATCCAATCATATTTACCATGTGTAAAAGGATATGGACAAGTTTCATGAATCCCATATGGTAGCAATTGCTCCCCCTACATATGTGCTAAGAGTTTAAATTGTAGCTTACACATATGCTTAGATAGGAAATATAGGAGACAATGTCTACCAAATGATGCTAAGGTATAAAAGATAGACCTTTGAAGCGTGATACCAATCGAAGTGCACCATTATACCATCCTTAGCACTATGGTTAGCTTGATACCACTTGGAAACACTTGGAAATGAAATCATTAGATATTTTATGCATGCTAGTTTTTCATTTCATCATTCAAACCTACAACTAGCATACACCACACAAGCATAGATATTGAAATTTAAAAACTTGTGCTATGCAAACAAACATATGAAATGCACATTCAAATGCATCATACAAGTTCATGAGCTTGCTCCCCCTACTTGTGTGCTTAAAATTTTAATTGATCCCTTTCCTTTGTCATATCTCCCCTTATGTCAAGTTCTCTCCCTATCACTTATATCTTTATTTTTTCACTCTATCTTTGTACACTATTTCACTCTATCTTTGTACACTATTTCTCTCCATGTACTAATATCTTTGTTTTTCTCCCCCTTTGTCATCAATGACCACAAAGGTTCGAAAAGGTAAATACCATTTGTAGGGTCAAGATTATCAATATCAATCAATGGGGTGAGGATCATATTCCCAAAATTTTGGTTCAAACTAGATTATTTGCCAAAGATATTTAACTCGGTTTGATCCAAGGACAAGCTTCTTCATACCTCTAAATAAGGGTTATCTTGTACCATGTTGAGTTAAACACTTATAGCTTATTTTCTAGATCAAACACTAGGTTTACAAGCTCACAAACAAGTCATATGCTATCACTAGATCAAGTCAAGCACAGAAGCAATAGTGATACCATATAAACATCAAATTTATTTAATTTTCATGAATGAGCCTAATAAAATGGAGAAATGACTAGATGCACTAAACGTGTCCTTAGCTAGGATGTATGCTATGCCAATCAACTTTTACCTTGGATTGCTTGAAGCAGAGGCATGTCATATAAGTGGGGGGTGCATCAACACATATTTAAGAAATCCAATATGTTCAACTCATTCCTTAGCTTGCAAAACCTTTTCTCATCCAATGGCTTGGTGAATATATCGGCAAGTTGATCTTCGGTGCCTACACTCTCAATGCAAATATCCCCTTTTTGTTGGTGATCTCTTATGAAATGGTGGCGGACATCAATGTGCTTTGTTCTTGCATGTTGAACCGGATTGTTGGTCAACTTGATTGCACTCTCATTGTCACATAGCAATGACACTTTCTTGAACTTGATTCTAAAGTCATTCAAGGTGGTCTTCATCCAAAGAATTTGTGCACAACAACTACCGACGGATATGTATACGGCTTCGGCGGTTGATAATGCAACACTATTTTGCTTCTTTGATGACCATGAAACAAGTGATCTTCCCAACAATTGACATGTGCCCGAGGTGCTCTTTCTTTCAACCTTGCATCCCGCATAATCTGAGTCAGAGTAACCAACTAGCTCAAACTTTGCTCCTTTGGGATACCACAAACCGACATTTGGTGTGGCAGAACCGCCTAATCTAATGCCTCACAGGAGTGCT